GAGGGTAGGTGGTCGACGACCTCAAGCCCGACAACAGGACACTGACAGTGACTCTGACTCATTGTCTTCGGAGCCCAAAAAGAAGGGTCGACTCGAAGCTACCAGTTCCTTTGAAGAGAGTGTACGTATAAGGCATAAGCAAAAGAGAAACAGTTCAGACGAAGAAGACCAGCATGATCCCTTTGTACGACGGATTGCGAGGGCGGTCTTGCCCAAAAAGTTCAAAGCTTCGTCGTTCACTCTCTATGATGGAAAATCAGAGTTTGGGACCATTGGCTGTCAGGTGGTATTATAAACTGGAGCCGGCTTTGATCAAAAGCTTTCATCAATTACAGAAATCCTTCAGGGCCAGATTCATCACCAACGAGGTCCAGCCGAAACAAGCCGACTCTCTCTGGGCAATGCAGATCCAGCTAGGAGAAACACTAAGAGCGTATTCGGCACGCTACTGGGAGTGCTTTAATCTTGTTGATGACGCTTGCAACGACTCCATGGCCATCACCGCCTTCAAAATGGGTTTGCATCCTGACAGTGCTCTCCGCAGCTCCTTGACTAGAAAACCCTCCAAAACAGTCTGGTCGTTGATGAAGAAAGTTTAGGAATACTGCAAAGTAGAGGATGACGCCTTGCGGGTTAAAGCCGAAAACGTGGCCAACAAAATGGCCCCTTCTGAAATTGCTCAGCCAATAAGTTCTGTACCACCTCAAAGCCCCAAACCGCGACATCGGGCTAAACGAGATAAGAGACGGGATTCTCGCCGATTAAGCGACCAATGCTCCCACCAAGCAAGTGAACAACTACAAGTCGATAGCAGGCGCACAAGGCGTGCCGACAAGAAATATACGAAGTTGACAGAGCTGATCAGTGCGGTTATGTCCAAAATCCAACACCTTCCGTTCTTCAAATAACCATCGAAAATCGTGGGACCTCCCAACATACGAAGACGGGATAGGCGGTGCGAGTATCATAAGGATCATGGCCATGATACTGAGAGTTGTTATGCATTGAGGGATCACCTGGAGGAATTGGTACAAAATGGTTGGCTACAACAATACGTCCGAAAAGGCAACCCAACTAAAGCAATAGCCTTAAGACAGGATTCACCTCCGCTCGGCGTGATCCACATGATATATAGCCTGCCAGCGACATCCGGGTTGCATATGATTCAGTCGAATCCCAACCCTCAGAATCAATTCACTCCGGCTAAACGGCACCATGAAGCTGTAAACATTGCTTTTGATGATTCAGATTTGGCCGGAGTGACACTTTCCCACATTGATCCCTTGGTAATTGAGTTACGTGTAAACCAGTTCACCATTGAGTGCGTACTCATTGACCCAGGGAGCACATCAAAAGTTATGTATTACAAGACATTCATCAAACTCGACTTCTCTGAATCGGACCATTCTCTGGCTCCTTATCCACTATTCGGCTTCAACGCCAATCCAGAATACTCGTTGGGAAAAATTGCACTACCCGTTCAAGCGGGCTCCCGAACAATGGATGTAGAGTTCTTGGTCGTCAAGCTGCCATCGTCGTATAATCTCGTCATGGGGCGATCTTGGTTGCATACTATGCAGGCCGTACCAAGCACCTATCATCAGCTGCTACGCTTCCTGACGGAACGCGGCATTGAGCAAATCCGTGGCTCCCAGAAATCGGCACAAGCATGTTATCTCCTTGCTTAAAAAACACCAAAGGAGTTGCAAGTGAACTCTATTGAGGCGACGGATCGGGAGAGCCTCAATGATGTTGGGCGGCTCCCTAATGAAAAGGCCACGGAAGCCCTAGATCGAGTTGAAATCAACGGAAACCCAGACAGGTTCTTCATGGTCGGCGCCTCCGTGAATCAAGCCGACAGACAGCAGTTAATTTCCTTCCTGCTCGGTAACCTTGATGTATTTGTGTGGACTCCATATGAGATGTCGAGTGTAGATCCGTCTGTTTCGCAGCACTGTTTAAATGTTGACCCTAAGTGCAAGCCGATCATTCAGAAAAGTCGGCGATCAGCCGCAGAGCACACTGCCACCGTCGTTGAAGAGGTTGACCGATTGCTTGATGCCGGGACAATCAGGGAAGTGACCTACCCTACATGGCTCTCAAATACTATGGTTGTGAAGAAGAAAAATAGGACTTGGCGAGTCTGCGTCGATTTCACGGACCTAAACAAAGCCTGCCCCAAAGATTATTTTTTCTCCCCAAGAGAGACCAACTTGTAGATGTTACGGCACGTCATCAGCGTATGAGCTTCCTCAATGCCTACAGAGGTTACCATCAAATTGCCATGCATCTTGAGGACCAAGACAAAACTGCATTCCTCACCCCAAGAGGAACCTATTGCTATAAGGTTATGCCTTTTAGGCTGAAGAATGTAGGGACAACTTACCAGAGACTAGTCACCACCATGTTCAACGAGCAACTCGGCCACACTATGAAAGTGTACATTGACGATATGGTGGTCAAGTCCAAGGAAGAGCAGAATCATATAGCCGATCTAGAAGAGACATTCGGCATTCTACGCAAATATGGAATGAAGCTGAACGCTTCTAAATGTGCGTTTGAGATCAGCTTTGGAAAATTCTTGGGTTACATTGTCAACCACCGAGAAATCGAAGCCAACCCAAGGCAAATCACAGTAATCCTGGAACTCGACTCCCCTCGATCGGTCAAAGAGGTTCAGAAGTTAATGGGGATGGCCGCTGCACTCAACAAGTTCATCAGTCGTTCCACGGACCGCTGCCGACAATTCTTTCATACACTATGGCAGGGTAAGGCTTTTGAATGGTCCGCCGAGTGCAAATCTGCTTTCAATGGCCTCAAGACCTACCTCCGATCAGTTCCACTCTTGACAACGCCTTCGGCAGGTGACCCGCTCATTTTGTATCTGGCAGTTTCCGACCGGGCCGTCAGTGCCGTACTGATAAAGGAAGAGTTGAGAGAGCAGCGACCAATGTATTATGTGAGCAAGGTAATGGTTGACGCCGAAACACGCTACCTTCCGTTGGAAAATCTCATTCTAGCCCTCGTCATGGCAGCGAGAAAGCTGATGCATTACTTTCAGGGGCATACCATCGGGGTGCTAACGGAACACCCCCTCCGGTCGGTACTCCATAGTGCGGAAGCATCAGGGCGCGTTTCAAAGTGGGCTCTTGAACTCGGCCAGTACGATATTCAGTTTCTGCCTAGAACCTTCATCAAGGGACAGGTAATTGCCGATTTTGTGGCCGAATTCACTGGGGTCTTGCTGACTTCACGTCTAATGAAATTCGACCTAAGCCAAGTTGGAAAATTTATGTTGGGGACATTTGGAAGTTGTACTCTGATGGATCATCCAATCAACCGGGCAGCGGAGCTGGAGTAGTAATCATGGCTCCCGACGGTGCAATAATTGAGCAGGCCGTCAAACTCAGCTTCGAAACAACAAATAACGAGGTCGAATACGAAGTCCTTCTGGCCGATTTGCAGAATGCACATCTTTTGGGTGCTTGGCGTTTGCTGGTATTTTGTGATTCAAAACTGGTGATCAATCAACTAAAGGGGGAGTACGCGGCCAAAAATGACCATATGGTGGCTTACATGAAATCAGCTAGCGCCTTGCTAGCAAAATTTGACCATCATGAATTGAATCAGATAACACGTGATAAGAACACACATACAGACGCCCTAGCTTGCCTAGCCTCCGCCATTAATTCAGAGATTAAACGGAACATCGAAGTAGGTTTCATCCCGAAGCTGAGCATTGGCCTTTCGGAGGAAATCCAGGTCAATGTCATAGAGTCAGGACCAAGTTGGATGGACCCCATTGCTGCATTCCTGTCTTTCGAACAGCTCCCAGCGGACAAGAAAGAAGCGCACAAGCTGCGAAACAAAGCCCTGAGATACTACTTGGATCCACAAGGAAAGCTTTATAAAAAATCCCTTTCTGGTCCATACCTGAAATGTGTACACCCGGACAAAGTCGAAGAGTTTTTGACTGAAATACATGAAGGCAGTTGTGGTGCCCATTCTGGCGGGCGCTCTCTGGCCCATTGAGCTATAACACAGGGGTATTATCGGCCGACAATGAGAACTGATGCCGAATGCTATGTGAAAAAATATGAACAGTGCCAGAAGTTCTCTCCGTTAGCTCATCTGCCTGCTGAAGAGTTAAGCTCTATCACCAGTCCCTCGCCATTTGCCCAGTGGGGACTTGATATCGTAGGACCATTGCCGAGGGTCCTAGGGAACAAGCGATACTTGATCGTCGCAACAGATGTGATAACACTCACCTATGATTAGTGCTAATCAATGATTAAGCATGATAAGTGATTGATCGGAATGAAATTCTGAACTGATTGCATGAGCGTATTGTTTAAACGCATTTCTATCTGTTTGATTACTTAATTGATCTGTTCATGTTTTAATTTTGAATTGCAAATTGAAGGCCTTATCGACGGTCGAATCTAAAATTGATTAGTGTTTTGTGCTAATTAGAATTTATGGGA